AACAGATGGACAGACAGATAGGAAGACAAGTGGATGGAAAGGAGAGAGGAAAGGAAGTAATGACTTGTCCAAGTACCTACTGTGTGCTGAGCTCTGTGCCTAACTCCTCCCCAAGCATAAAGCCCTTTTGCCCTGATGACCCACATCCACATCCCTAGGTCCATGCATGAGGCAACAGGCACCCACATGCTCAAGCAGATATTGAGCACCTGCCTACCATGTGGTCCACTCCATGTGGAATGCAGCAGTGAACAAAACAGACCAGCCAACCCTATACAGGGTCGCTATGAGTTGGAACTGACTTGATGGAACTTAACAACCACCACCCTCGAGAAGTTTGTGTTTGTTATAGCAGGGGAGAGAGAGAGCGACAGTGACTAAATGAAACGTACAGCATAATTACCAGATGATGAGAAGTGCTAGAAAGAGAAATGTATGCATGAGGGACAGAGCTGGGGACACTGTGAGGAGGGGACAATGGAACATTAGCCGGGCTGAAGTGGGGAAGAAGTCACTATGGTGTGTTTAAGAGACTGCAGTGGCTGGCGCACAGAGAGCAAGGTTGAGAGTCTGAGGCTGAAGTGGTAATCAGGAGCCAGGCTGTGCTGGGACTAGCAGCTGATTCAAGGACTTGGATTACGTTCTAAATGAGATAAGAGTCTCTCAGCAGAGGAGTGACATGGCCTCACATCTTGGAAAATGAACTACCGGGGACTCAGATTCAGAATAGAGGCCCCTGCTGCCTCAACTCTGGGCTTGAGATCCCACCAGCTGGCCTGAGGACCTTGCTTCTTGCTGGGACTCGGGCCCCCTGTTGGAGGGTAGGAGAGTGGGGTAATGGGAACAAGAAGACCCCTTCCCACACTCACCCCCAGCTCACCCCCTTCCTGTGTGATCCATACAAGTCACTCCTTGACTGTGTTTGGAGCTGTCCCACAGTTATTTTATTCATTCATCCAACAACCTTTAGGCCTGCTCTCTGCCAGACCTGGAGCTGGACATGGAGCACAGCAGAAAGCAGGCCACAGTCACTGCTTTTCAGGGATCAAATTCTCAGAGGGGAGTCAGACACACAGAGACAGAGATTTCCATCCCAGCAGGGGTCTCAGTGCACATTCCCTTCTTCAGGGGTGCTCAGGAAGGCTGCTTGGTGGAGCCATGCCCCACTGGAGGCCAGCTGACTAGACAGCTAGACTCAGACTAAGACCATACCTGAGATGGAGAAAGTCTGCAGAGTACCAACTCTACACTGTGTGCTGCTCCCTCCCACATTAAAGAGGCCCAGGAAGGGAGAGCTCAAGGTCATCAAGTAGACTAGACACTCTGGCTCTTCCTACTAAAACTCAGGGCGCCTAGGAAGATGCAAGGGGGCACAGACTGAGCACCCAGAGAGCTGGGCCACCTATATATGAACCACCATTATATCCCATGCTCAGTAACTAGTGCTTGAATGAGTGATGGAGCAAATGGACTACACCCAGCAAGAAGATCAAAAGACCCTTCATCATCTGATCTTACTCTATGCCCAGAATGTGGGTGAAGGACCCTCTTCCAACTGCATGAGATACCAGGATTCCCTAATAAGAGGAGGCAGCACCCCTGAATTTCCAGGATCCCTTTTGGAAATCTAGGAACCAGTTCCTAAGAGTGGAGACTCAACTTGAGCCCATAATGGTGCCTCCTGTCCCCCACCCCCATCACAGAAATGAGTACAGGTGGTTACTATCAAAATTCTTGTATCAATAATAAATCTTACTTTTGGACATAAGATATTATCTCATTTCAAAGGCTCACTCACAGAGCTGTGGTCTCCCAGCTAGGAAGTGATGGAGCCGAGATTCAAACCCCATCAGACTCATGCTGAACCCTACACATGAATACTTCTTTGCCTGGTACAGTTCCTCCCCTGGCCAGCTCCATGCTGGGAGGCTGGACTTCCGCAAAATGTTTTAAATAATTTTCCTCTCAAAAACTTTTTATTCTCAGAAACCGTTTATTCAAATGAAATCAGAAGGAACATTACATTCCTAAGGCTTTAAAAGCGGAGTTTCCCCTTAGCCCTACCTTCAATGCTGGGACCCCTGACACTTCCTAAGTCTGGGCTCAGCTAGTCCAGGTTCTCCATTCCCATCTGGGACTTCACCTGCAATCACTAAGCAACCTCACTTCCTGCAGCCAGAAGAGTGGGTACCGCCACATCCTAGGTTCAGTGCACCAACCTGGGGGGTCTTCTCATGCCCACTTGTCAGATAAAGAAACTGAGCACCAGGCTCTGTACACTTCTCAGGAGCACAAGTGCCCTGCTTCCTGGTCCAGTGCTGCATCTTCCAGGAGGCAAGGAGAGGGGTTAATGCAATCCCAGATGGGTAGGGCAGATCTGCCCCCTCTTCCAGAGTGGTACCAAGCTAAGACAGTCCCCTCTTCCTGGAGTAGCCCACCCTTGGGGCTTCATAGTGATCCAGAGCCACAAGGAGACCCGGTTGCAGAATACCAAGGCATGGAAATTCATGCAGATTTCACCAAAGGACCATCCACCGCTGCAAAGCTCCCAGACCTAAGTGGGCCTGCACTTCAAGTCTAGCACCTCCTATAGACTTGGGTACTTTTAAGAGTCTGAGATTTTACGTGTTTGTTGAGAGCCTAGATTCCAGACACTTATACAAATCCTGTTTACAATGGGTGTTTGTAAGAATTCTGAGATGACATGTTATAAAATTCCGTGATTCTAACTAAATATGTATTACAAGTTTTCAGTGCACATGATTCTTTGGGCTGGACTGTGTTTTGAGGAAGGAACAAGTTCCTGGACCGTCCTGGGCACCTTGGCCTATGCCAGGACAGGACCACTGCTGCCCCTCCCCCACAAACCGAGCATACCCCCTAATGCAGATCGACAGAGCAGACTGTCCTTCTGGTCCGGCCTGGCCACATAAATCACCCTCCCAATAATATTTGTATTGATTATCTAGATTGGAAGCCTCAATTGGCTCCATTGTCTCACTTCCTCTCCCAGGGCTCACAGATGGGGTCCCTGTGTCTCATCTGTGTTTCTAATTTGACATTCAAATATAGCCACAGCAGCCAACAAGACCCCTGCCTCTGCCCTGGGTGTTGGGGGGTTGACACAGTACATAAAAATATTCCTTGAGAGGGGGGGTTACTAAGTTATGGAATTTGTGGTGCAGAAATAAAAGTCCTTGAGCCCTACCTGGGAGTTTGTTGGAAATGCTCAAACTCAGACTCCACCCCAGACCTGTAGACTCTGGAATCTGCATTTTAACAAGATCCTCTGGTGATTCATATACATGTTAACAATTGCTAAGCAGATTCTAGCCCAAGCCTTGTACTTTATTGAAAGGAAACTGAAGCCCAGAGCAGGCAAAGGGCTTGCCTGAGGTCACACAGAGCTCAGCAGAGGAACCGAGAGGGCACACGGCTGGCTGGAGTGGGGCCAGCATCCTCGGCTCCTGTCCCTCCCACGCTCCTGCCTCTTGTCCCAGAGTGTGGACAGATGGTTCAGACCACAGTCTGACCCCCCTGTACTCTCCCAGCCTGGAGGGGCCAGCAAGAGTTCTGGGCTCCCCAGGAGGGCACCTCCCAGCTGCCCCTTCTCTGGTAGCAACTGGACAGCAGATCCCAGGGAAAACCACCACCTGGGTCTGCCCAGCACAGCCGGGTGTCAGGGAGGGAAGCGCAGAGCCACAGGAGGCCCTGAGAGGGACCAGTGAGGGCCTGGGAGAGATGGGGAGGAGGGGAAGGACTGTGGTCCAAGGGAGGGGGACAGGAAGGACAGAGATGGTGTTGCGGGAGCACAGAGAGATGGACAGAAACAAAGAGGGGAAGAACCAAGAAGGAGGGGACAAGACCCTGATCAAAAGAGAAACAGCCAGACAAGAAAGGAAGAAGGGGAAAGACAGAGGGAAGGGAAGGGAGGCAGTAAGGAGCAAGAGGGCCTGGAGACGGCAGGGAGGCAGCTGGCCTGGAGATGCTAGAGCCACCGCCCCGTGTGGCCAGCCCAGCCCAGCCCCAGTGGCGGTGCAGCTGCCACACTTGGGCCCTACCATGAGGTCAGTCTTGCCCTGGGGCTGAGGGAAAATAAATGGTGTCCAAGATAAAAGGTCCAAGAAATTATTTGTCTTGTTGTCAGGTCCCGACTACAGTGGGCAGGGGCCGGCGGGCAGTGGGGGCACCACCACAGAGGGGCCCAGGCTGGCAGCCTCAGCCGCCAGCTCCCCAAACCTGAGCCTGAGAGTCAGGGAGTAGGGGACAGGTGCTTCCCAGCAGGGTCAAGAACTCACAGGAGGCCTCACAGGGAGCGGTCCCTGCTTCTCCTTCCCAGCAACTTTAAATAAATAACCTGGATGAGAATGTGTTCCATGACTGTATCTGCCAGATCCCCCCAAGCACTGAAGGGTGGGGTCGTGTCTGGTACGCTCACTGCTGAGGGTCTTTGTGGGTTGAGGGCTTGGGGAATGGGTGGGAAGGCAGCAAGAGGGGGATGGCTCCAAACACCACAGAACAGGGCTAGACAAGTCTCAGGGTCAAGGGCAGGTTCATGGGGTCATGTTCCAAGGTAATGCGAGTATCCATTGGCTCACGGGTGTGCAAAGTTTGTAGCAAATATGTACATACACGCACACCACCACCATACCAGATTTCCAGCAGCATCCACAAAGTGTTACCCAGAAGCTCCCCCTTAGTTCAAGGTGTTTGGCAATCCCCACAGCCCTGACATCATCATGACTGCCATTTATGGGAGCCACCAGTAGCCACGTCTGGTGAAGACTCACATCTTCAGGGAAGACTCCCGACAAGACTCGCAAGGATGCCTATCTTACAGATGAGGAAACTGAGGCTCAAATAAGTTGAGTGACAGATGCCATGTCACACAGCCAGGACACAGCAAAGCTGAGATTTCAACTTGAGGCCTTCAAGTATATGTTGGGGGCTAAGGGGGTGGGGAAGAGAGTATTTGAAGGAAAAAGGGTGTTGGCACGTACCATACTTGTCCCCATCCTCGCCGCGGGCACTGATCCTGCGGCCCAGGACCTGGATGTGTTTCCCGCTGGTCCGGCTGTAGAGTTGATACAGCCGCAGCTGCTTACGGCTCACATCGTCTCGAGCCCGAGTCTGGTTCTCCACATGGATGCGGAAGTCCACGTTCTCTTCGGCCACCAGCACCTGGGCAGAGAAAGGGAGTCAGTTAGCCACCCTGGAACACCTGGGTCCCCACCACATCAGAGCCAGCAATGTTCACAACAAAGTGCAAGGCTCTGGACCAGGTCCACAGCACACACACCCTCATTTCCCAGTTGAAGCGCCGAAGCTCTAAGAGGTGAAGCGAGAAGAGGCAACGCTAAGCATCAGCCTAGAATGAAAGCAAGCAGACTGGAAGGAAGGTTTCTGAGGCAACCTGGGGCACACGGTTTGTTCTCAGATTCCTTCTTTGTAAAATGAGGAGGTGGGGAAGGGATAAAGCCCCTGCCCTGATTACATTCCAGGGTAGCTGTGAAGATAAAATGAGCAAATGACAGGTGAGAGGGGAAGTGTCAAAAAACATGGAGCTGGGAGCTTGGAGCTTGGTGAGGCACCTGTAGCTGTGGATTGGTTCACATGCGGCAGGTCTCATTCTGAGAATGACTGAGCCAGAACCCACCCATGGGATTTTTCCCTGGGATTTGATGCTGGAGACCCTCATGCCATCCCCACACCAAGTGTCTGCCAACATTCCAGTCCCACTTGAGTAAGCCTTCACCTTGCATCCTCCATTAAGAACCCCCATTGAGGTCGCATCCTCCTCCAGGAAGCCTTCTCTAGTTATGCCCTCACATCTCTCTCCAGTCTTCTTGTCCCCACCACTGCCTATCACCTGGACTACTTGTACCCACTCCCTCACTGGCCTACTCCCACACTCCCAGTCCTAGCAGTCTATCCTCCTCTCAAATCATCACCTGTGCAATCCTCCATCCCCCTGCACGGGAAGAGCCTGAGCCTTACCTCTTCTTTGCCACTCTCTTCCCCCCTCATTCCACTGACTGCCTTACTCTGCCTGGGCACCTTCTGAGCATCCAGAACAAAGGCCTCAGGACCTTTGCACTAGATGCTCCCTCTGCTTCATTTGTGTCTCTGTGCAAATGTCAGCTCCTCAGACAGGCCTTTCCTGAGCACCTTTCTAAGACATTTTTTCTTTCAGGACTTCTCAACTTGCTCTCTCTTGATCTGCTTCTTGTCTGTCTCCCCCACTGGACTGTCAGCACCATGAAGCTGGAGCTGTACCTTGTTCACTGCTACAACACCCGACACCATTTGTGGAATGAATGAATTTTGAATTGACTCGGGAGTCCTGTCAAGCCATTTAGCATTAAATTAGGCTTTCCTATAATCTGCTAATTGGATCCCTGTTTCAGCCCATCTGAACCATAAGCTTGAACAGGTTTCTGGGTTTGTTCTGTGAGCCCCTGGGGGCTGCTCTCTAGCTAAGGGAAGTTAGGTATGCTTCTAACCTCACTCAGTGTCCTTACCCATAAGTTGCTGTTGTTAAGTGTCATAGAGTCAGTTCTGACTCATAGCGACCCTGAACAGGGTTTCTGAGGAGCAGCTGGTGAGTTCGAAGTGCTGACTTTGCAGTTCAAACTGACCTTGCAGTCCAGTGCTTATCCTATGGCATCACACCAGGATGTGTGATGATACTGATGCCTACCTCATGGGTTAGAAGTGAACACTAAACACCTAAAGCAACTAAAGAACAGTGCCTGACACAGAGTAAGAACTTAGTAGGGCATCTGTGAATATAATGTAAGAGAGCCTCGTTAAGAAACTCTAAATGAAGCCTGGAGCCCCTGGGTAGTGCAACTGATTAAGTGCCTGACTATTAAGTAAAAGTTCGAACCCACCCAGAGAGACCTCAGAAGAAAGGCCTGGTAATCCGCTTCTGGAAAGTCACAATCTTGAAAACCCCATGGAGCAGTTTTACTCTGCTGAGTCTGAGTGGGTTCCCTACAAACACAAGCAGATCATACTGTCACACCCCGAGAGCCAGGGTACTTCCTGGGTATGGATGATAGTGTGGGAAGATGGTACTGCTTTGATTCTCCCAACAACCCTGTATCATAGGAACAACTTATCGCCCTCCTTTGGCAGATGCAGAAACTGAGAACCAAACAAGTTCAGTCCGTTGCTGTAAGACACCAAGTCCAGGTGGAGTAGGAAAGGCCGCTAGATCCCCAGGTGTACACCCTCTTGACTTCCACTACCCCATCACAGCCTGGGGTCCATGGGGAGGAAAGACCTCCAGTGTCCCTGAAGTCCACACCTTAGGGCTTATGTCCTGGAAACCATCACTCTCCAGCTCCACTTCCCTGGAATGACTTTGGAAGCAGCCAGCCTCTCCCCTCCCCCAAGGGCTTCCGGGCACCCCTCCAGACCCTCTCCTCTCCTCCTGCTCACAGGAGACCTTATCGACCAGAGGTCAAACCAATCTCCTAACCCCAGGCCCCTGAGGGGAGCTGCCCTGGCCCAGAAGCAGGCTTCCCATTAATGATTTTCTCCCTGCCCACTGGACAGAGGCAGTGGGGTGACCCAGGGTCAGCAGGGGCTATCGGGTGGCCCTTCTCCAGGATGTGGGCGGGGACTATCCATCTTGTCCAGCTTCCACACTTTAAGTCACACTCTTTGGCCCAATCAACCCCAAGGGAGGTAGCAGGGGTGACCTCTAGCACAGGAAGAGAGTCTGTCCTCCCAGGCTTCCAGTACTGTGCCCCCTTCCACCCTGCTGACACCTGCTTTCAGAAGCCTTTCCTGCCCACCCCCAACCTGGCTTAGGACACTCTATTGCAATGTTTTATTGTCCCCACCACCACAACTGAGTCCCTAGACAATGAAAGCTTGTCTGGTCCAGCCCAGGACCTCCAGCCCTGCCCTGAGGAGGCACTCAGCAATTTGTTAAATGACTGTGGCTCGAATTAGGAAACCAGAGGCTATGATCAGCCTCTCCGCTTCACTACCCAAAAAAGCACAGTACCCAACAGAGGGACCATGCGTGATGCTGTAACTATGCTTAGCTATCTCTGTCCCTAGCACTGTCTGAGAGAAACTCTCTAGCTATGCTAACCCCTCTAAAGAGCCTACCCAGGTGCAGTGGAATCAGGTGTGACCCAGAGCAACCCCAGTTGTGTTAGATTAGAGCAGAACTGAGTTCTGAAGGGTTTTCATGGCTGTGAAGTTCCTGGGTGATGCAAATGGTTAAGCACTTGGCTATTGTTTTTTGTTGTTACTTGTCATTGAGTTGATCTCCCATAGGTGCCTATTGGAAGTGCCCCACAGGGTTCTCGGGGCTGTGACCTTTCAGAAGCAGGTTGCCAGGCCTATCTTCCAAGACACCTCTCAGTTCTAGCACTTAATTACTGGAGGGAGGTGGTTTGAGTCCACCCAGAAGCACCTCAGAAGAAAAGCTAAGTGCAGTATTTGTTTAATTCCCTCGCCCACTTGTGGAGGTGGAACCCATTTCACAGATCAGACGTCTGAGGCAACTTCTCCAGGAACACAGGGTCTTCCTTCAGAGCTCACACAAAGCCAGGCCACTTTGAGGAACATTCTCTCCCCTCTCCTCTCCTGCTAAATGTGACAGTCACTTCCTTCACTGCCCTGAGAGGATCCCTGCCTTTCCAGCCTTCTCAGACACTTAGAGTTGCTCTCTACCAGTTAACGCCCTTCCAGGTGCACAATTATCAGGGTGTTGAAAAGCTGCTATGTGAAAAAAAATCATTTTGCTGCAACTCTTGCAAGGCAGGAAGGGCTGGGGTACATAATGGATGTTCCCTTCTGCAGAGAGAAGGCACCTTTTGTCGCTCTGCCTTTCTCTCAACCACATACACAAGAATGATCTTTAGCTTTTCCCACAATGTTGTTGTTGTTGTTATGTTCCATGGAGTCGGTTCTGACTCATAGCAACCCTGTACAGAGTTTCCGAGGCTGTAAATCTTCATGGGAACAGAAAGCCTCATCTGTCTCCCACAGAACAGCTGGTAGTTTCAAACTGTTGACCTTAAGGTTCACAGCCCGATTCATAACCACTACGTTACCAGAGCTCCTTTGCCCCACAGTGGAGTGGCCTATAGTGGGGTTCTCTACAGCCGCCCCTCCCCACACCTGGACCCTTCCCCTGTCTCGAGGCTGTTAGCTCTGGGGAGAATACTCACTACTCAAACCAGAAACTGCACAAAGGGCAGCAAGTGTCCAATAGGGTCAGATATCCCCCGATGCCCAGGGTCTGCCAAGGTCTTAGGCACCGTCGTTGGGGGGGGGGGGACGGAGCCCAATGCCAACTGTCACCCTCAGAGTATATCCTCCATGCACAATGTGACACCATCTCCCTGCTGCCCACCACCCCCAAGATCAGGGCCAAGTGCCACTTATCATCTAACCCCACCCCATCTTCCAAGACTCTTCTCAGGGGACCCTTGGTGGGGTGAAAGAGCTTAGAAAGGCCCCCGGGCTCAGTACCAGTTGCTAGGGTTCTCCCTAGGGCCTCTCTTCACCAGGTATATGCTAGCAACCAGCCCAGAGATTTAAGCCTCACAGAACTCTTATTTGAGGCTCCTAACAGCTTATTTGAGGAGCTTCCTATTTCTTCCCAAGCTACATTCCCACGTCTTATGGACATCTGCCACGTTACACACCACCTACATGTACATACTACATAAACACACTACTGGCATTTGACAACAAAATGACTAGCTGACTTTATGAGTTAACCAACTCCACCCTGAAATACAACTTATTTGACTTCTCTAAGCCTCCGTTTTCTCATCTGCAAAATGAGCATCCTCTGTAATATTAATCTCAGAGGAACAGTGTATTAATCATAATAGCCACTACTGCTTTCCCCTTTTTCTATTAAAAACAAAAAAAAAAATGCAGCTCTACTTTTCAAGTACCTCCTCTGTACTAAGAACCACATTAGGTAAATTAGCCAGTATAATCCCCAGAGCAACCCTCTGAGTCAGTATGACTAGTACCCCCATTTTACAGATGAGGAAACTGAGGCATGGGCAGATTAAATCACTCATCCACAAACAGAGTTGATGAGCAAGGAATCAAGGTTCAAATGCAGCTCCTCCTCATTTTAGAGCCCAAGCTCTCTACCGCTCCACCCTTGCCAGCTTTCCTTCAAATTCTCTCTT